CATGGCGGAAATACCTCAGCGGCCATCTTACAAAGTGGAAAATTAAGATGAATGACTACCAAAGCTAATATACCATGCTAGATAGTCATAGAGGAAGCAATATTACATCCCCACACCATAGCTCTCATCCCTAAGTTATCCTCAAGCCATACTTCAGTCCCAAGGATAATTATACCACCTGCAGCCATTTTGGAAACTGAAAGAACAATTTTAAATAACCATAAGGTCGGGGGTAACACCACCCCTTCGCCATTGATTACAAAAATCTACAAATAATAAAATCATTCACAAAAATTATAAAATATTAAAAAATATTAGTACATACTAAAAATTAAATCAAAATATAATTAAAAAATAAAAAATTAAAATTACAAATCAGAAATAAAACAATTTAAATCCAAATCAATATTAAGACCCCTAGGTTTCAAGGTGTTAAGTTTAAAGATCCAGAAAGTTTCATTACGGGATATTTCCTGTACTTTATTACATCCCCTCCAATGAGTATCAAGAACATCAATACCACAAAAACTCAGAACACTAGGATCCGAATTGTGAAAATCACGGAAATGCTTTGAAACACTATGTTCCTTCCTTCCTTTTTTTATGTTCCCCACATGTTCTTTAAGTCGAATTTTAAGATCTCTTTTCGTTCTACCCACGTATTGGATTTTACAGGGACATTCCAACAAGTAGGTAACATACTTCATATTGCATGTTATAAACTTCTTGATCATAAACTCCTCCCCCGTAACTGTAGATTTTACATACACCGATCAACCACAATATTATTACCACCGACAGGTGGCAAGTGACATAACTTTTGATTATCTAGTGTGACAATGGCATCTGAAAGTGGGTGGGATGTATTAGGCAGCAAATGAACATGGGCAAGCCCAGGGGTGTTTTTACCACAAGGCACTTGCCTAGGGCGGCAGTTTTCAGGGGGGGCAGCACCTCCCCCCAGAAGAAGGGATGAAAGAAGGGACACACGAACTATGGGAACCAGGTAGGATCCGAGAGGGCTGCGAGCTGCTTGATGGTGTATATAAAGTCTGACTCTTGTTCTTGGGGGGTGTCCGGAGCTATGACGATGAGTGTCTTTTTCTCTCGGGGAGGGGGGGTAGTGGAAGGCTCTCTCGGGTTGGGTGGGGGGCAGGGGTGTTGCTGGTCAATGTCGGGCTCTCTCCGTGGGAGGGGGAAGGGAGGAGGTGTTGGTCAGTGTCTGTGGGGGCAGACTAATTTTGTTTTGTCTAGGGCAGCACAAAACCTAAATACACTATTGGACAAGCCTAAGGATTTCAGCGACTTTGACAAGGGCCAAATGGTAATGTCTAGACCAGACTTTCTCAACCAGGGTGCCTTCTTGGTTCTTCAGGGGCGCCTTGACAAAATGCGTAAAATTGCCCAAAAATTGTGGGGAGGGGATCAAGCCTGCATTTTTGTTACACGTAGTCATAGTTTTTCATTGTGCAACATAACAACCTTGGGCACCATGTGGGCCAGCCACCAGCGTCCTAACAACGTCTGATGTCATCGGTTGATAAGGAGGACATCTGCCACCCGCACAGCATCCTTGTTTGATTCCCCACCTCCCTCTATCAGCACTGGGGTCATGTTAGCTACATGGTGGAGAGAAAAAGAGGTAGAACAAATGTTGGAATACTAGTCGGTACCAGTCTGCAAAAGTGTATTTGCTTTGCAAGAATAAATTATTTCTAATGTGTGGATGCTGCTGCATTATGTAAAAACCATTAGGGGTGCCTCAAAAATTGTGCCCGGTGTCTGACAGGCCGTGGGCTTGTACTGGTCTGCACCCCGAGGGTTGAGGACCCCTTGTCTACACGACTGGGTTAGAGCAATTCCAAAACTGCAGCTGTTGTGGGACATTACTGGTTTGCAGTGGTCACCACCGACCAAACGTGGTCCAAGGAAGGAGAATCAGTGAATGGGTCATAGGCAGCCAAGGCTCATTGATGTACGTAGGGCGCAAAGGCTGCCCATGTAGTCGGATCCAGTAGAAGAGCTGCTGAAGCTCAAATTGCTGAAAAAGTGAATGCTGGTTTTGATAGGTGTCAGAACACACAGAAAACAAAGAAACACAGCTCCTCTAAGTGTGTACTGTGAAGGTATTTAATAAAATGCTCATCTCGTCCTGCACATCCTCAAAAACGCGTCACATTTTGATGACGTCAGACGCCACATGTGCTGATCCAGGACATCTTGGAGACTCTGCCAAGCTCCACCATCTATGCTGCATATGCACAGCACCATTTGCTGGCAGACACCTTGGAGATTCCACCAGGCTTACCATCCATGTTACACATGCACAGCACCATCTGCTGATGGACTCAATCGATCTCCTCTCTGGATCAGACACACAACATCATCTGGCTACAGACATCTCACCCTCTTACCCATGAGCCCGTTTTTAAATTCTAAGATGTGAGTTACTACTTGTCTTTCTATTAAATACCTTCACAGTACACACTTAGAGGCGCTGTGTTTCTTTGCTTTCCCTTCTGCAGAGTCATACTTTGCTCCTATGCAGCTTGCCCTTAGTGCCTACTGGACTACCTTCACCCCTGCCCATTTAAACTCATCAAACATACATGGACTATCACACCATGCGCCTGTTATCCCTTTTGTCAGAACACACAGAGCATTGCAGTTTGTTGTGTATGGGGCTGTGTAGCCGCAGACCGGTCAGGGAGCCCATGCTGACCTGTGTCCACAGCCAAAAGTGCCTGCAATAGGAAATTGAGCCTCAAACCTGGACCATGGAGCAATGGAAGAAGGTGGCCTGGTCTGATAAAACATGTTTTCTTTTGCATCGTGTGGATGGCCGGGGGTGCATGTGTGTGTTGCTTACTTGAGGAGGAGATCGCACTAGGATGTAGTATGGGAAGAAGGCAAGACGGTGGAGGCAGTGTGATGCTTTGTCTAGTGGAGTCCATGGCTCGATGGGTAATGCTGTTTTGACAGCAAAAGTGGAACTCCTCAATTTTAGGTGGGTTGTCATAATGTTTTGACTGATTGGTGTATTAACAGGTGGGGGTAGAAAATACATTTTATTTAAATACATAAATAAGGTGTGGGAAAATGTTCCAAAGACAAAAAGAAAATATGCATTAGCAGAACGAACAGGATGGATGCACCCTTGTTGGCATTCCCGGCAGTTAGCAACACACCACATGATGTGCCAGGGAAGCCTACATTAACGCAAGGGAATCTCATACCTGTGGGGGAGCTTACACCATTTCTTCTTCATGAAGACCCCACATTCCCCGAAGCTTACTAGGAGGACCATCCCTTCCAAGCTCAGGTACCTCCGCCTTCCAAAATAAATCCATGTCCATTTGTAACTTGTCTTTCTTAATACTTTACTGGACAGTTGAGCAGATTTGTCTTAACACAATCTGACTTGTGGTCCATCATATTTCCAACAGACACTCTTTCCTTTGCTGGGGTGTTGCATGGGAGAATTCCTTATCTCTATATGCTTTCTCTCCTGCTGTCACACCCAGAGGGATAGTTCATTGGCCCAACCGCGGGCCTGCAGAGGGGAAAACCCCTTGTTGACTATTGTTACTGTAATCACTGATTAGGGATTTCTATGGCTTCTCTTCCCATGTGCCTAACCTCCTCCTAAACCCTCCTCCCTCTCTTATAGCTTCCATTGTGAGAGAAGTCCATGGGGACACACACACCTGCTAAGATGCAGAGCAGATACCACCTTAAAAGGAACATTGACCCCTTCTGAAACCTCGGAACAAGGTTCAGCCTTATCACTTACAGTGGTTTTATAATGCTGGTCTATTTGGGTCACATAGTTCTATTAAAGCAGTTTCCTTACTTGCAAACAGTGGTATAGCTCTAGTCATAGCAGCCCAGGCAGCTGCTATGGAGCACGGCGGTTGGAAGGTGGTCCTACAAGGATGGTTGTCTCCTTTCTAGAAGAGCTGACATCAGATGCACAGGATCATGCTGTTACTATTCACAAATCTCCTTAGCATCCCATCTGTATGTGGATTTATTGCCTTCAGAGGCTTTGGTTATCCTGGTCTAATGTTAACCCTGTATGCCTAATACCATATTCCTGAGTCTGAAAAATCCAAGAGTGTCCAGAGTGAGTGATGAGACGTTTGAGGTGATCAATTCCGCTGTTGGCTTTGGGGTTAGCAGAGGCACCATAAAGGAAGGGATGCTCAAAGATTTTCTTGTAGAAATGTAACCCCATCAATGCATCGTGTGGCTTGTACTGGCCACGTCATTTGGAAGGTCTATCGAGACACTTTAACTATTGCTGGAAGGTGCTCCTTTCTTGTGCCACACATGCAGAATTTAAAGCGTCTCACCTTGCTGATGAAGTGACCAGTGTAAGCCGCAAACTGGGTTGGAAGTGTTACATTTTATAATATGATCAATAAAAGCCAAGAATTTCATACAAGAAAACCTTAACATTCCTTTCTTTTTTTGGTTGCCTCTGCTATTCCCACAACCTACTTTTTGGGCCAAGCTCCTTCACTCCTTATACACTGAATTCTGACTACTCCTCAGTACAGGAAAATCTGGCAGAAACCTGGCTAGCGTTGAGTGCAAACAAAGACTTCCATATTCACTGAACACATAGGATCCACATTGCTTAATCCACACTTGGGCATCCCACAACCTTACAGACATGAGTAATGGCTTATCGTAATCCTCCAGAACTAACCTACTACTTCTCTGTTCTATCGATGCCACGTTCTCTTCTGGACTTCTCCTTTCCTTTTTTTTTTTTTCTTCCTCCATCCTTTGTGGTTACTTCAATTATGCTATTGTTGTAATTGACATTGCCACACACTGGGGGATCTCGGCAAAATATTTGAGGCCCCATAAAATAGGGTCATCTTTTTGTTGTGTAGCAGTGCTGAACAGTTAGTGTCTCCTGATGATCCTTTAATCTACAAATTAGATCATTGGGGGTCAGTGGAAAAAATGGCCCCTTACATTGGAAGTCCATGTAAAGAATGTCCCTTACATTGGTGATCAGTGGGAAGAATGTCCCTTACATTGGTGATCAGTGGGAAGAATGTCCCTTACATTGGGGGTCAGTGGGAAGAATGTTCCTTACATTGGGGGTAAGTGGGAAGAATGTCCCTTACATTGGGGGTCAGTGGGAAGAATGTCCCTTACATTGGGGGTCAGTGGGAAGAATGCCCCTTATATTGGTGGTCAGTGGGAAGAATGTCCCTTACATTGGTGGTCAGTGGGAAGAATGTCCCTTACATTGGGGGTCAGTGGGAAGAATGTCCCTTACATTGGTGATCAGTGGGAAGAATGTTCCTTACATTGGGGGTGTGGGAAGAATGTCAGTGGGAAGAATGTTCCTTACATTGGTGATCAGTGGGAAGAATGTTCCTTACATTGGTGGGTCAGTGGGAAGAATGTTCCTTACATTGGGGGTCAGTGGGAAGAATGTTCCTTACATTGGTGGTCAGTGGGAAGAATGTCCCTTACATTGGTGATCAGTGGGAAGAATGTTCCTTACATTGGTGGTCAGTGGGAAGAATGTCCCTTACATTGGGGGTCAGTGGGAAGAATGTCCCTTACATTGGGGGTCAGTGGGAAGAATGTCCCTTACATTGGTGATCAGTGGGAAGAATGTTCCTTACATTGGTGATCAGTGGGAAGAATGTTCCTTACATTGGGGGTCAGTGGGAAGAATGTTCCTTACATTGGTGGTCAGTGGGAAGAATGTCCCTTACATTGGTGATCAGTGGAAAGAATGTTCCTTACATTAGTGGCCAGTGGGAAGAATGTCCCTTACATTGGGGGTCAGTGGGAAGAATGTCCCTTACATTGGTGGTCAGTGGGAAGAATGTCCCTTACATTGGGGGTCAGTGGGAAGAATGTCCCTTACATTGGTGGTCAGTGGGAAGAATGTCCCTTACATTGGGGTCAGTGGGAAGAATGCCCTTACATTGGGGGTCAGTGGGAAGAATGCTCCTTACATTGGTGGTCAGTGGGAAGAATATCCCTTACATTGGTGGTCAGTGGGAAGAATGTCCCTTACATTGAAGGTCAGTGGGAAGAATGTCCCTTACATTGAAGGTCAGTGGAAAGAATGGCTCCGTACAGTGGGGGGGTCAGTGGGAAGAATGTCCCTTACATTGAAGGTCAGTGGAAAGAATGGCTCCGTACAGTGGGGGGTCAGTGGGAAGAATGTCCCTTACATTGGGGGTTAGTGGGAAGAATGTCCCTTACATTGGGGGTCAGTGGGAAGAATGTCCCTTACATTGGGGGTCAGTGGGAAGAATGTCCCTTACATTGGTGGTCAGGGTCATGGGAAGAATGTCCCTTACATTGGTGATCAGTGGGAAGAATGTCCCTTACATTGGGGGGGGTCAGTGGGAAGAATGTCCCTTACATTGGGGGGGTCAGTGGGAAGAATGTCCCTTACATTGGGGGTCAGTGGGAAGAATGTCCCTTACATTGGGGGTCAGTGAAAAAGAATGCGCCTTACTTTGAAAGTCAGTGGGAAAAGAATGTCCCTTACATTGGAGGTCAGTGTGAAGAACGGCTCCTTCCATTGATGGTCAGAATGCCACCCTTACAGACAGTTAAAAAGACCATTGGTGCCATGCCACTGGCTCTGTTGAAGGTTATTGGACAGCTACAGCTCAAGAAACCCCTAGCAACCACTGCAGAAACCCTGGCTGTTTTTTTTTTTTTGTCTGCTTAATATTTAAAATCCTGGGATATAGTGTAAACTTTTACTTTTTAGTGGCTTGTACAAATGACAATCTTTAAAGAGATGTGTGCGAGGATTACGTTTCAGATTTAGCAAACATAATTAGTTTCAAATTAGCGGTGTGTGTACACATTGTACGTTCTATCAACCAATTAACGGCACCTGTTTAAATAATAGCTCAGAGGAAACAGGTGATCTTTATAAATTATACTAATTTTGGGATTCAGAAAATAAATAACGTCAATTATATACATGGCAATAGCCGTGACATCTGGAACACGTCTGTTCTACCTACACTTTCAATATATATATACAGTGTATGTGTGTGTGTGTGTGTGTGTGTATGTATATATATATATATATATATATATATATATATATATATATATATATATAATATTTTCCACTCCTTTTACTAAATGAACCAGGGATGGCAATTGTTCCTTTTTATATTTACAAAGGCAATCGTGTTGTAAACAATGTAATTTCTAGAAATTCTGTCTCAGTTTCCATTGATCCCTCCTTAGTTAGCAGCGCTCATCTGCTAATTATGTTTCTTTTAGAATTTTGTGTTTCGTTTTTGTGTAGATGGTCCCTGTGCCTCATAATGATTATCCATAGGCTGCCTTCTGGCCATAGGCTGGCCATACATGATTCATTTTCTTTCATTCAACCAGTTGATTCCCTCATCCACATGTACAAAGCTATTGCATTCTGACAACAAGGAGGCTTCCCCTCATGATTCATTTTCTTTTGTTCAACCAGTTGATTCCCTCATCCACATGTACAAAGCTATTGCATTCTGACAACAAGGAGGCTTCCCCTCATGATTCATTTTTCTTTCGTTCAACCAGTTGATTCCCTCATCCACATGTACAAAGCTATTGTATTCTGACAACAGGGAGGCTTCCCTCATGATTCATTTTCTTTTGTTCAACCAGTTGATTCCAGCTCATCCACATGTACAAAGCTATTGTATTCCGACAACAGGGAGGCTTCCCCTCAGTGCAGGTCGACTTATGTACAACCAGCCTGCCCATAGATAGATCAAAATTTGGCTGGTTCTTTCTGAAACGGCCAAATTTCGATCTATCTATGGCCCTTTTTGGTCAGAGGGTATCTATTTACTGTCATGGGAACTGATCACCTCACCCATCTTCTATGAGTTGGATGACCAGTCTTTTTTAAAACCCCTCAGTAGTATCCTTGCAGTTTGCTGCACATGGATCAAAGGTTTGAGGACTTGTCAGCCTTTTGGCTAAGATCAAATCTTGCATCTGTTCTTTTCAGTTTTTAAGAATGTTGGCACCCCTTCTCAGTTGGGGATGCTGGTTTATTAATTCCCAATGTAATAAGGTTGGTTCAATGGGTGGGATCCTTTCCTCCCAGGTTGAATCTGACCTGGTGCAGGTTGTAGGCAGGCTCTCACGAAGTGCTAATGTTTTTCTGGTAGGAATGGGGCTGTTTTTTTTTCTCTGACTAGGGGCTGGGTAGGCAGAGAGCTTGCGTTGGCTGTGCCTGGTGGGAGTGCTGACCCTGGGGGTGCTTGTGATATCACTATAGGTTTGGGACCCCACTGTAAGTACAAGCACAAGGATACAGTACTATATACTACAGGTTTTTTTTTTTTCTGCACTGAGCCTCATGGGCTAGGCCTTCAGGCCAAGACCAGGGCAATTTTTTCTTACCAGGTCACATGGTCTAGCCATTGTTTTGCACATTGGTACTTTTTTATTCAAGTATACCATGGCACTTTTGTGTTTTTATTTATTTTTTACTCACAGAATGGTTGGATTTGGGTATTCAGGCCTAACCTGAAGTCTAGTGGGAGAATGTTTGGCCCTTAGGTTCCTTCCTCCCCTGCCTTAAAGTCTCTCTTTGGAAGAACCCCTCACCTAGTACACCATGGTCAGCTTCGGCTGATCACAAGGTTAGGGGTCCACTGAGCCTTCTGGTTAGGTGGACCAGAGTGGCTTGCCCCTGTCAGGAGTTTCTTGCCCTCGGGCTGGTCATGGGAGGACCCTTCATCTTTGGGAGGGGACCATATGATACACTCTAGTGCACTTTTTTGTGTGTTCACATGCACTTTTTTTGCTCACTCTGGGGGAAAAAAAAAAAAAATATTTGGGTGCTGGCGGTGCTTCTGCTTCCCCTAACCAATACCTCCACCACCATCCTCTCTCTTCTTCTCCCCACCACAATGGAGTGTACACTGTTCGAAAGCAGCTAGCAGATGAGGACCATAACAGCTCTGGGCACGATGGCTTTGCAATCTGGCCAGCTGAAGCATGCTGTGCCTTGCTGCACTAAACTGCTCAAGACACCAGCAGTGCTAACCTTTATAGTGGCTAAATCCTTTGGTGTGTGCAGGTGGGAGTGTTGGTGGCCATATGGCTGTTGAAAAGAACAGAGAACTCCCCTTTAGCATGCAGACTTGCTGGGTCATTGACTATGAAAACACTGATGTTATTAGATCAACCTGACAGCCAGGCTACTAGCATTTCCAGAAGTTTATTTTTTTTTTTATCCAAGGAGCCTGTGACCGCTACTATCATAGGGTGGCCTAAAGGAAGAAAATACAAATTTATATGTAAAATATCCTCATAGTCTGCAATCAAAATATAGAAATTTCCTGAAAGGATACTCTAGGAGCTACTTGGACTGACAGCCATGGAGTTTGGTGGGAAGGGCCATTATGAATGGAAGCACTCATAGGCTGGTGGAACGTCCATACAAAAGGGATAACAGGCGCATGGTGTGGCAGTCCATGTATGTTTGATGAGTTCCAAATGGGCAGGGGTGAAGGTAGTCCAGTAGGCACTAAGGGCAAGCTGCGTAGGAGCGACGTATGACTCTGCAGAAGGGAAAACAAAGAAACACAGCGCCTCCAAGTGTGTACTGTGAATGTATTTAATAGAAGGATAAGTAGTAATTCACATCTTAGAATTTAAAAGCTGGCTCATGGGTAAGAGGGTGAGACGTCTGTAGCCAGATGTAGTTGTGTGACTGATCCAGAGAGGAGATCGATTGAGTCCGCCAGCAGGTGGTGCTGTGCATGTGTAACATGGATGGTAAGCCTGGTGGAATCTCCAAGGTGTCTGCCAGCAGATGGTGCTGTGCATATGCTGCATAGATGGTGAAGCCTGGCAGAGTCTCCAAGATGTCCGGGATCAGCACATGTGGCGTCTGACATCATCAAAATGCGACGCGTTTCTGAGCATTCCAATAGGATGTTTAGCATCAGCCAGCAATGTTAGTTTAGCACCCTTCTAGAGTAGGATGCTAGGTAAATTTGGTTTTTGGCTGCACCTGCCGTAAAGGGATCAGTGTTCTTTTGTTCTAGTCTATTTAGGGTCTCATAGGCTGGGAGTTTGAATAATATGGTTTGAGTACCACAATGAAAAAGCAATACAGACACACAAAATATATCTCCAAGAAGACTGTAGTGTCTGGTATACCAAACAACTTGCAAATGAGAGCTTGAGAATGACTGTAGTAGTAACATTAATGGGTCCCCCAGTAGTAGATGGTTAAAAACAAGGCATATTCTGGGGTCCAGGCGAGATTGCTACTGTTAAGATGCCCAAAACAGGAGGGGGGCCCATAGTAACAGGGAACACTAGGGAGTATAGCAGATCCACACTGGCCTGACAAAGAAAAGTATAGAGAAAGGACAGAAAAAGAAAAGAGTCCATGACTGAAATCCCACCTGACATCCCCCGCACCCATCCCAAAGTCTGGGGAGATGTCACAAAAATGGCTAGGCCAGAAGTTTGATTGCTTCTCATATCTGGAAGAAGCTTCTAGTGCTTAAAGGAGATGTAAATAGCCATTATGAATATTTTTCATTCTCCAGTCAATCTCTGGAGAGGAGTGTCCAGAAGGGGGCAGGAAAGGTGATAAATAGTCTGAACCACTGGAGAGCTGGGTTCCAGCGGTGTAGGAGCTGCTGTTTTTTCCGGCAGTCCAAGACCAAACAACTGCTCTAGAGTCCTCAGAGGTACCAAGACGGAGG